TTATTGAGATGTGAGCCAGTGCCAATGACTCATGCCTGTAATTCTAGCTACTCAGGAGACAGAGGTCTGAAGATGGTGGCTTGCAGCTGGCCTAGGCAGGAAAGTTAGACTCTTATTCCAAGTAATCACAGAAAAAGTCAGAAGTAGAGCTTTGACTCAAATGGTAAAGTGGTGGCCTTGAGCAAAAGAGGCTCAGGGGACAGCACTCAGGCTCAATATTCAACTGTCACAACTGGCCAAAAAAAAAAAAAACTATCAGAAGGGGGGAAAGTATGACAATTAAGAAAACTAGATTAGTTGGATTTTACCAAGAAAGAGGGGAAATGAAAGAAACAACTGAAGAGTTTTGTTGTTGGGTTTTTGTTTGGTTTTTGGTTTTTTTGGTGTGCCTAGTCCTAGGGCTTGGACTCAGGAGCTGGGCACTGTCCCTGAACTGTTGTGTTCAGGACTAGTGCTCTACCACTTGAGCCACAGCTCCACTTCTGGCTTTTCTTTTCTTTCTTTCTTTTTTTCAAGTTAAACATGTTAAATTTATTCCAAGGTATTTGCCATAAGAATGTGAATGCATTCACACACAAAAAAAGACATATAAGAATGTTCAGGGCTGGGAAGATGGCTCAGTGGTAGAGTTCTTGCCTTGCATGCATGAGGCCCTGGGTTTGATTCCTCAGCACATAAGCAGAAAAAGCCGAAAGCGGTACTGTGATTCAAGAGGTAGGGTACTAGCTTTGAGCTGAAGAGAAGAGGGATAGCGCCCAGGTCCACAATTCAGGCTCAAAAAAAAATGCATCTGGGTCGCTGGATGGATGCTACGTGATGGCTAAATTATGTAACTAAAGTGAGTAATTTATGTAAACCAGACCCTATTGTAAAATACCTTAAGAGTCCTCCTTCTCATAGTTTTGGTATTGTGCAAGGGGAACGTCCTTCCCGACTTCTGGCTTTTCTAATAGTTACTTGGAAATAAGAAGTCTCACAGACATTCCTGCCGGGGTTAGCTTTGAACTGCAATCCTCAGATCTCAGCCTCCTGAGGAGTAGCTAGGTTTACAGGCATGAGCCATTAGCATCTGGCTTAAAGAGATTATGAGTGATTCTTGCCACTAGTCTTTGGCAGATACACTAACATTCTAACCATTTACTAACCTAAAAATTGGCTGCTAATATTTCACCATTTCATAAAAGTTACATTATATTAAGATATAATTCCTTAGAAGAGGCAATCCAAAAATTCATATGGAACAATAAAAGACCCCGAATAGCAAAAACGCTCCTTAATGGAAAGAACACTGCTGGAGGAATATCAATACCAAATTTCAAACTTTACTATAAAGCCATAGTAATCAAAACAGCTTGGTATTGGCATAAGAACAGACCTCAGGACCAATGGAATAGAATTGAAAACCCAGAAACGAACCTACAGACCTATAGCCATCTAATCTTCGATAAGGGAGCTAAAACAATAGAATGGAAGAAAGACAGCCTCTTCAGTAAATGGTGCTGGCAAAATTGGTTAACTACAAGTAGAAAACTAAAGCTAGATCCTTATATATCACCCTGCACCAGAATCAACTCCAAATGGATCAAAGACCTTGAACTCAAAGCAGACACTCTGAAAACATTACAGGATGGAATAGGAGAAACCCTAGGTCTCCTTGGCTCAGGCCGAAATTTTTTGAATAGAGACCCGGAAACACAACAAATCAAAGAAAGGTTAGACAAATGGGATTGCATAAAGTTGCAGAGCTTCTGCAGGGCAAATGACATAGCTAGCAAGATCAATAGAAAGCCCACGGATTGGGAGAAGATCTTTACTAGCCATACAACGGACAAGGGTCTCATATCTAAAATATACTTGGAACTCAAAAAATTAAATCCCCCAACAACAAATCCTCAAAGAAACAACTGCCCAATAAATAAGTGGGCGAAAGACTTAAAGAGAAACTTCTCTAAAGAAGAAAGAAGGATGGCCATAGACACATGAAGAAATGTTCAACATCCCTAGCCATAAAAGAAATGCAAATCAAAACAGCATTGAGATATCACCTCACTCCAGTTAGAATGGCAAAAATCAAGAACTCTAACAACAACAGATGCTGGAGGGGATGTGGACAGAAAGGAACCTTACTTCATTGTTGGTGGGAATGTAAACTTGTTCAACCACTTTGGTAAGCAGTATGGAGGTTCCTCAAAAGACTTCACATAGAACTCCCCTATGACCCAGCAATCCCACTTTTGGGCATTTACCCAAATGTTTACAAACAAGACCACACTAAAGCTACCAGCACAACTATGTTATTTGCAGCATTATTTACCATAGCTAAGATATGGAACCAACCCAGATGCCCCTCAGTAGATGAATGGATCAAGAAAATGTGGTATATATACACAATGGAATTCCAAGCCTCCATCAGAAAGAATGACATTGCCCCATTTGTTAGGAAATGGAAAAACTTGGAAAAAATTATATTAAGTGAAGTAAGCCAGGCCCAAAGAAACATAGGTCCCATGGTTTCCCTTATTTGCAATATCTAGTATATGTATGAGTCAAGCGGAAAAGGTCAGATAATGTGATGTCAGGAAAATGAACCCTTAGATATGTATTTTAATGTTTTTTTCTTTCATGCATGTGTTTCTAACGCATTTATAAGATTATCTCTTTGTTGCTTTGTATGTCCCTCCCCCACAGTATAACCCCTGCTTTCACTATATTTGATGTCAGTATAACTTGTGGAGGAGATGGGGAAAAACCAGTTGTTTAAGGATACAGGTGGACCTGTTGCAACAATGAGAAGTACAAGTTGTCATGTCCAAAACGAGCTTTACAACGTGGGGGGGGGGGGGGGGGGGAGGGGAGGAGAAGGATTGGGATTGGGGGGGAGGGGGGAGGCTGGGAAGGGATGTGAAGGGTAAACCAAAGGAGGAGGCTGCAATGCTTGGTAAGAAATGTACGCATTATCCTGCCCATGTAATTGTAACCCCTCTGTACAGTATGTTCACAAATAAAATTAAATTAAATTAAAAAAAAAAAAGATACAATTCCTTAACAGAATTACCATATTAAATCATATCTAAAGTCCTATATAATATGGTCAGATGCCGGTGGCTCATGCCTGTATCCCTAGTTACTCAGGAGGCTGAGATCTGAAGATCATTGTTCAGCCTAAGGAAATTCTGAGACTCTGATCTCCAATTAACTACCAAAAAAAGCCAGAAGTAGAGCTGTGGTTCAAATGGTAGAGCACTAGCTTTCAGAAAAAGAGCTAAGGAACAGTGCCCAGACCTTGAGTTCAAGCTCCAGGCCTAGCACTTCCCCTGCCCCCAATAAAATCCTATATAATATGGTTCATCTTAAAATAAGGGAATCAAGTAGTAATCTTTAGAACAAACAACTGATCTGCAATCTCATTTCCCAAGCTACTGAATTACCTAAACAAATATTAACTTAAAATATGGGGACATATCGAGTTTAAACTTTCAGTCACTATTTTCATCAACAAAGTATATTATGACACTATATGAAAAATATTTAGCATATACCAAAAAATTAACTTTCCCTCAAAGATAAAATGCAATAATACTATTAATAAGATAGCTTTATATAAACTATTCTTAGCCACAAATGGTTTGTGCGTGTGTGTGTGTGTGTGTGTGTGTGTGTGCATGGCGCACACATACGCATGCATGCCGGTACCAGGGCTTGAACTCAGGGTGTTGGGATCTCTTGCAGCTTGTTTCTCTCACAGCTAGAGATCTACTACCTGAACCACACCTCCAGTCCAGTATTATTACTAGCTATTTGCAGATCAGATGCCAGCCCCCTAAAAAGCCAGGGTTACAGGTGTAAGCCAGCAGTGACCAGTGGACATACATGATTTGATACAAATGTGTGGGCAGGGAAGGGGAACTGGAGGAAAGCAAAAGGTGGGTAAGTTGTTACTTATGAAATGGTAACCTTTTTATATAACCCCTGAATAACAATAAAATTATCTTTTTTTAAAAATCCAGACAAATCCCTCTCAACTATCAAAGAAATCTTTTAATGGAGTTTGCAGTTTGATGAGGGCTCTGGCTTAGCAGCTCATCAAATGTCACTTTAGAAGACTAATCTGAAACAAAAAACTAGTGATGTTTACAAAAACAAAGGCCCAGGAGTTTTCTAGTACCACTTCTCCAAGGTAGGTTTAAGACCCTTCAGCTTTCATGGTCTGGAAGAGATTACAGTCATTTTCCCTGATCTCTTCAACTACTGGTGTCCCAGATTCTGACCATGACATCATTATTATGCTTGGAAAATTGCTGACATGAACTATTCAATTGTGCTACTTAGTTTGCATTTATTCACAATCTCTACAGGCCACCATCCGAGCAAAAGGAAGCAGAACAACATTTTAGAATAAAATATAAGTAGCTGGTTATTTGTTTTTTTAAAAACTAGCCAGCCAGGCACTGATGGCTCACAAATGTAATTCTAGCTATTCGGAAGGCTTTGCAGTTCAAAGCCAGCCTAGACAAGAAAGTCAATGAGACTTATCTACAATTAACAGAAAAAAAGCCAGTAACAGAGCTCTGATAGAAAGGCAGCCGATAGCCAAAAATAGCTAGGGTACAGCGCCAAGCCCTAAGTGTAAGCCCCAGCATAAAAATAAAAATACCTGCCAAAGAGATTTTCATATTTAAATATAATTGGTACACTCACTAGAAAAATTCAAATCCAACAAGATCCTGTCTGGATTAGACTGAAAAAGACAATTCAGCAATTCAATTTCAACTTAAAATTCAAAGAACGTGTGTGTGTGTGTGTGTGTGTGTGTGTGTGTGTGTGTGTGTGTGTGTGTGTGTGTGTGTGTGTGTGTGTGTGTGTGTGTGTGTGTGTGTCTATATGAGAGAAGGATTTTGTGTTGTAACTCTAACAGTTGGGAGAAAACGTTGGATAAACTATTAGCAATAGGGTCAAGTGATTAGATCTTAACTTTAAATATACAAATTCTTAATTCTTACCTCCCACTGTAAGTGAGGTGGGATATTTCGGATCTGAAGTTTCCGAATCCTGTAGAAAAAAATTTAAAAAAATTTTAAGATACAAGACATCCCAAACAAAACACATACATCAGTAGCCACCCCCAGCCCACCCACTCCCCTCCCCCACGGAAGCTAGGAGCTATTACAATACTAATCTTATTATTAACTACAAATGCAAACACACACACATATACATATGTGTGTCTGTCTGTCTGTCTCCCAAATGTAGCTCCAGGAAAAAAGTTAATCACGAGTTGCAGAATGCTACCATTTGGAGAGCTGGCATTATTGGATTGTTGTGACATATTTTAAAAGCCATGATAACTGGTGCAATTTGAAGGGGGGGATTTCATCAGATGACTATATTAAAAGTTCAAACTCTCTTTCCTCAAATTAAGTCTCCTAAGACACAAAGACTCCGTCCAGATGTTTTTTACTCTGAGATCACAGCCAAGGACCAGAGGAATTCAGAGAACGCAGAACTGGGGTGGGGGAGGGGGGGAGGAATCACACATTTATTTATTTTCACTATCCCTTTACTAAAATTCAACACTTTCTTGAATTATGACTGTTGGCATCAAGTCACACAGAATTATAGCACTTGAAATTTTTATGTGAATATAAATCAGATATTTTCATGCCACACTAAGTTGTTGCCGATATTTAAATATCAACACTCATTGCTGTTAAGTTTAGATGTTACTTCTGCTAAGAAGCACATATTTCTCTAAGTTTTTAATTTGCTAGCTGCATTTTGGTATGACTTGTTCTGTTGATAAGCTTATGTACTTCATGCACTTAAAAATATCCTAGGGGGTTTGTTGGTTTGAGATTACCACAAGAATCCACAGTGCGCGCATACATACACATACACATACACATACACACACACACACACACACACACACACACACACACACACACACACAAAATACCATAAAGATTCTTCAACTCAGTTAAAAATGCTCACATACATACATGTGGATTTGTGAAGGAAAAGAAATAACTCACTGAGTATGTGAGATTGTACTACAGATACCACAGGCCAAACAATCCTTTAGAAGGGGAAGGAAATTTAGAGTCAACTATTAAAAACAATAACAATGCCAGTAGAGCACCTAAATATTAGTAGGGAGGCCAATGCAGGGGATCTCAAGCTCAAAACCAGGTAAGGCAAGGCAGACGTTAATAACAATAAATTATCAATACCAACTTAGCAATTGACTTTGACATCTCAAGTGAAATAATTAGATTTCTTAACTTAAAAATTACAACTGTAAGCCAGGTGCCAGTGGCTCACGCCTGTAATCCTAACTACTCAGGAAGCTGAGATCTGAGGATCATAGTTCAAAGGCAGACCAGGCAGGCAAGTCCGTGAGACTCTTACCTCCAATAAAGGACCACAAAATCAGAAGTGGTGCTGTGGCTCAAGTGGTAGAGCACTCATCTTGAGCTGAAGGGTTCAGGGACAATACCCAGGCCCAGAGTTTAATTCCCACGACTGACCACCCGCCCCCTCCAAAAAAAAATTACAACTGTTGTGAACTTTTTTTTAATTAGCCCAGAGAAACATAGTTAGTCTAGGTTCCCAGTCTGGACCATGGCTCCATCCCGCTTTCTAAAACCAAGAGAATAATGGCACTGTTCTCATAAACCAAAACTGTTTGCAATCAAAATGGAACAGGAAAGACAGATACTGTGTGTGTGTGTGTGTGTGTGTGTGTGTGTGCGCGCGCGCACACACACACACGAACGCGCGTGGGCACATGTGTGTATTACTAGGATTCGAACCGAGTGCAGATCAAGCTTCTATCTTGCTAGGGATGTGTCATTTAAATCAGCTCTATGACACAGCGAAACAAAGCAAATCATCAAGAGATAAGTATATCCAAAAAGTGGTAAAAAGAGCCTTGATTTGGGGGGAAAAAATTTTCCACCCACCCACCACCTAGTTAGAATTTGCAGATGAGATAGTAGTTTGGGAAGCTTCTAAAAATAATTTATGCTCATAATCATTAATGAAGTAAAACAAGTACTAACACAGAGATTTCCGAGCTGCTGTATATGGCTTCAGCTAACATAAGTTACTAACACTGTAAATATTTACCCCGAGCAACTAATGAGGTAAGAAGTTTTGCTATACATATGCAAATATAAATCTATTTTAATCATGCATCTGACACCATGAGAACTGGCAACACAGTACTAAAAAATGAGGTATCCACCACAACTGGGCTCATTTGGGCAAGTACATATATACTATCAAAAGAATTTCCCCAAAGTCCCATGTAAATGTACATTAAAAAGTTCAAGTCCACTAGCAGATGATTAATCACAAAAACAAATATCCACTACTGAGGCTTCCAAGAAATTCTTTCAATAGGATCCTATCTTTTGTACATTAAAAGCAATCCAAAGATTGGCTATAATCCTAGCTCCTTAGAAGGCAGAAAGAAGTAGGATTTTGGTATAAAGCTGGTCCCAGACAAAAAAGCATAAAGGGCTGAGAGGCATGGTTCAAGTGGGACAGGACCCGCCTAGTAAGAGTAGGGCCCAGAGTTCAAACCCCAGCACCACAGAAAAGAAAAAAAATCCAGGGGTGGGAAGGTGGCTCAGGGGTAGAGTACTTGCCTCACATGCATGAGGCCCTGGGTTCGATTCCTCAGCACCACATAAGCAGAAAATGCCAGAAGTGACACTGTGGCTGAAATGGTAGAGCACTAGCCTTGAGCTGAATTGCTGAAGGACAGTGCCCAGGGCCAGAGTTCAGGCCCCACGACAGACCAAAAATAAAAATAAAAATCCATTAACTGTGTTTCCTATAAAATGTACATTCAACCTTCACTTATTGGAATTGGCCACAAAATAATTATTTCCTTTAAATAAATGACTCATTTCTATTGTTTCATTTTAGACAAACAGAATTATTTCTATATAGCTAGTATTTTGACATTTCTATACAGCTAGTGTTTTTCTACTACTCTTACCTTTCTACTTCTGGTTCCTAACTCTACTCCAAAAGGCTCCACAAGGAAAGAAATCAACCCAAAGACATAAAATATATTCAGGCAGCCAAAAACGCAACTTCTGCTGAAGCAGACAAGGCAAGAAACTTAGAACCCAACACAATTAAAGACAGTCAAAGAAGCTACAACTAAACATGATCAACTTGCCACTTCTTTTACCATCTTCCACCTGACCTTTTTTGGATTAAGGTTATAAATACTTGAGTCAAGAAAGTAAACATTGTTTCTAGCACTATTAAATCCTGAAAGTTCAAGTCAACAATTAAGTTTCTTACTTCCTCCAGCAACATACATAGTAATAAATAGGATGTATATATTTCATAACAAAAAACCTATTTACAAAAACTCACCAGGTGCTTGTGGTTCAAGCCCATAATTCTAGCTATTCATCTCTGAACAGGATCTCAAGATAGCAGTTCAAAGCCAGCACAAGCAGACAAATCTTGGAGACTCTTATCTCCAATTAACCAGTAAAAAGCTCAAAGTGAAGCTCTGGCTCAAGTGGTAGAGTGCCACCAACAGCCTTAAGCAAAAAAGCCAATTGAGCTTTTTTGGTAGGAGGTATTGAATTACTTAGAACCTTCCATCAAACAACCCCATTTCCCCTTACCTTATTTCTGTCATCCTTTTTTTCTATCAACATATACACATCAAGTGGGAATCCCTGCTTTTACACTTAATCAGCAAAAGACACTGAGGCTCCAATTGTGATCTAATGCTGCTAACATGAGTTAAAAACAAGAAGAGAAAAACTAAGTCTCATGGGCAACTTGTTCCCTTTAACTTATTTTACTATGCAAAGGGACGGAGCCCAGGTCACATCTGGACAGGTTGTTTTTAAATATAAAGACAAACCATGTAGACTGAGAGCAATAAAGTGTGTCCTCTCGCACCCACTTCTTAGTAGCACTTTGTCCTGGCTACAAAATGTTATTCCAGCTGTGCAATCTATACCCAAAGAGGAATTTGCTCAGCCTGGCTAAATCTAATACTGTCACATTGTGATTGTCCCTATTCTTTCATTTATTCCCTTCACGTGTTATACAGTTAAGAATTATAGCTCCATTTTTGAAGTCCAGTAATCCAAGTAGATAAAAGGTGGGAGAAATGACCAGTATCACATTCTCATCCATGTCACCAAGAATAACTTTGCCTTAGTGCTAAGTTGGGAGTGTCTTATCAAATTCTCAACAAAAGATGTCACTTAAGTATTTTTCTTCCTTCTACTATTTCCTTATGCTCAAGGCTTAGCTTTATATTTGTAGATGAGGGAGAAAATTGGAAAAAAAAAAAAAAAAAGAGGCAAGAAAAAGGGATTTGTTAGCTAGGAACCAATAGTCTACACCTTTAATTAGCTACTTACTTACAGGAGGATGAGATAGGGAGGATCATGGTTCAAGGCCAGACCAGGTAGAAAAGTTCCTAAGACCCCCTTCCTAGTTCATAGCTGGGCACTGTGGCCTGTGCTCACCATGGTAAACTACTTGAGAGGCTGAAATTAGGTCACAGTTTCAGACCAGCCTGGGCAGAACAGTCAGAGACTATGTCAATGGAGGGGGCATTCCTGCAATGATGAGAAGCCTAAAGTAAGTTGTTCTTGGCCCAGCAGTGTGCCCAGGAAACCCTATCCTAAAGTAATCAGTGAAAAACAGAGCTGGAGATGGGGCTCAATTCAAGAGCACTTTACATGGCAAATAGAAGGTCCTAAAATCAAACCCTAGTACTAAAAAAAAAAAAAAGAGGTGGAGGGGGAGGAGGGAGAGATTTGCAAAATACACTATAATGTTTACAATAAAATCTTATGCATGTTATAAATGTGAGTTAATAAGGACATATCTTTACATGACTCATTGAAAGCAGAGCACAAATAGAACATCAAGCGCCTCATTATAAAATGTGTTCTTCCACAGAATCCCCAAGCAAGAAAAGAAAGTGTATGTACACACGTACATACTCACACATATACTTACACAAAAATAAGAGGGAGAAATACAACATTAAATAATGATGACAATAAGCTCTGCCTAGGAGAATCATGAGCAATTTTCAACGTCTTTTAGCTTTATGTTTAAAAAATAAACTCTACTAATTATGAAAAATTATGTGTGCTAGTGGCTCATCCTTTAATCCTAGCTACTCAAGAGGCTGAGATCTGAAGATTATGATTCAAAGTCAGCCCAGGCAGGAAAGTCCATGAGACCTTTAGCTCCAATTAACTACCAGAAAACCAAAAAAAAAAAAAAACAGAAGTAGAGCTGTGACTGAAAGTGGTAGAGCTTTAGCCTTGAGCAAAAGAGCTCAGGGACAGCACTCAGGTCCTGAGTTCAAGCCCCATGACCAACAAGAACAACAAAAAAAGCCAGAAGTGGAGCTGTGGCTCAAGTAGTTGAGCTCCAGCCTTGAGCACAGAAAACTAAGGGACAGCACTCAGGACCTAAGTTCAAGCCCCAGCACAGACACAAAATAAATAACTTACAGGGCACAGTGGTACATGCCTATAAATCTCAGCACATGCAGGTCAACACCAGAGAAAATTATTTAAATAAAAGCATCAGGAAGTGGCTCTGTAGCTCAAGTGGTAGAGTGCTAGCCTTGAGCTGAACAGCTGAGGGACAGCACTCAGGCCCAGAGTTCAAGCCCCATGACCAACAAAAAATAAAATAAAATAAATAAAAAAAAAAGCATCAGCAATTATATGAGTCTAAAATGTCGCTTTCCAAAGTCTAACACTAAACTGCACATCATTATTGAAAAGTAGGATGCTAAGCTTGACTACAAAAATTGTGATTGGTCGGTTGGTTGTTTGGGCATTCCTGGGTCTTGAACCTAGGACCTTAGAAATCTAGTCTTCTACCTCTCAACTACATACTCTTGACAGAAAATGTTTGAAGCCAGGTGCCAGTAATCCTAGCTACTCAGGAGGCTGAGACTTGAGGATCTTGGCTTGAAGGCAGCTGAGGCAGTAAAGTCTTTTGAGACGCTTTAATTGACCACCAAAAACACCACAAGTGAAGCTGTGACTCCAGTGGTAGCTCCAGCTTTGAGAGAGAAAGCTAAGAGACAGTGCTCAGGCCCTGACTGACACACACACACACAGCCTTAACCACAATTCAAATTAATCACACACACACACAGACTTAACCACACTTCAAATTAACCATTCCTCGCTGGGCACTGGTAGCTCCAGCTTTGAGAAAGAAAGCTAAGAGACAGTGCTCAGGCCCTGACACACACACACACACACCCTTAACCACACTTCAAACAGGCCCTGACACACACACACACACACACACACACACACACACACACACACACACACACACACACACAATGCCTTAACCACACTTCAAATTAATCATTCCTCGCTGAGCACTGGTGGCCCACACCTATAATCCTAGCTACTCAGGAAGCTGAGATCTAAAAATCAAGATTCAAAGTGAGCCCACACAGGAAGTCTGGGAGACTTAACTCCAAACACCAGAAAACCAGAAGTGGAGCTGTGGCTCAAAGTGGTAGAGCACTAGCCTTGAGCAAAAAAGCTCAGGGACAGTGTCCACTTCAAGCTCAGTGACCAACCAAAATCATCATCATCATCATCATCATCATCAATCATTCCTGTACATTTTATAGACAAAACTAATTTCTAAGCACTATTTTTCCCAACAATACTCAAATAAGAGTTACACTGGGTCTCCCCTCGGTAGGCCAAGCTGGCCTCAGAGTCACCACCTTCTTGCCTCAGTCTCCCAGGGGTGGGATCACAGGCCTAGGCCACCATGTCTAGCCAAAACTCAACCTGATTTTAAGTGATTTCCAAAGATGTCCATATTCAACTGAGTACTTGAAATACAATCGGTCCAAATGAATTGCTCTGTAAGTATAAACATCACAGTAGGTTTTGAAGACAAGATACCAAAAAAATGGATATCTCAATAATTTATTATGCTGTTTTCAAGTTAAATGATTAATATTTTAGATATATTGAGTTTTATAAAATATGAAAATTGATTTTTTTTTTTTTGGTCAGTCGTGGGGCTTGAGCATTGTCCCTGTGCTTTTCAGCCCAAGGCTAGCACTCTACCATTTGAGCCACAGCGCCACTTCCAGTTTTCTGGTGGTTAATTGGAGATGAGAGTCTCACAAACTTTCCTGCCTGGGCTGGCTTTGAACCATGATCCTCAGATCTCAGCCTCCTGAGTAGCTAGGATTACAGGCGTGAACCACCAGCACCCATCAGTCTTCTTTTTTGTTGTTGTTGTTGATCATGGGGCTTGAACTCTGGGCCTGGGCGCTGTCCCTCAGCTCTTCAGTTCAAGGCTAGCGCTCTACCACTTGAGCCATAGTGCCACCTCCAACTTTTTTTTTTTCTGCTTATGTGGTGCTGAAGAATGGAACCCAGGGCCTCATGCATGTGAGGCAAGCACTCTACCACTGAGCCAACTTCCCAGCCCACAGTCTTCTTTTTAATTCTTAATGTGGCTACTAGAAAGTTAGATTATGAATATTTCACATGTTTCAATTGGATAGAGCTAATATACAACTTAGTATGCTTGCTATTCAAAGAGAAATTGTTTTAAATTTTTGCCAGTCACTTGAAAATCAAGAGGCAGTTTTTAATTTAGTATTTATTTTCCACATAAAAGGTATTTTATAATGATTAAACTGTTAAAATTGCTACATAGGAATAGCTCCACATTAGCGCTTTTTTTTTCCTAGTCGTGAGGCTTGAGCTTGGGGCCTGAACACTGTCCCTGAGCTCTTTCATTCAAGGTTAGTACACTACCACTTAATCATAGCACTACTTCTGGTTTTCTGGTGGTTAAATGGAGATGAGTCTTATGGAATTTCCTGCCCAGACTGGCTTTGAACTCAGATCTCAGATCTCATCCTCCTGAGTAGCTAGGATTAGAGTCATGAGCCACCTGTGCCCAGCTTGATTTGTCCTTATTATAAAATAAATGTGGCCTTTATCCACAGCAGAGCTTTGAAAGTTTGTAAGTGGAAAGTTGCCAAGGATCATTATGAAATTGTACTACTTTCTCCCAAGCCTTTTAGGATTTAGATAAACTTGAAAGCACAGTATCTGGGGGCCAAGCATGGTGGAACATGTCTGTAATCCCAGCTCTCAGGCAGCTGTGCCAGGAGGCTGGCTAGTCAACAAGTCCGCTTGGGCTACATAGTGAGACTTTGTCTCAAAAATAAAAAGTAATAGTGGTGTTCGTTCTTGCTTTGGGGGTTTATTTTTAGGGGGAGCAAAGGGGAACGCAGAAAGAAAGAGGAATGGTGAACAAACGCAATGTTCATTGTGGAACATATGTGGAATCCTATGTGGAAAGTGAACTACATAACCTGTGTGTAAGAATGGGAGGGGAAACTAGGGGAAAGGGAAGGAAGAGGTGACATGTCCCAAAAAGAGAAATGTACTTATTGCCTGATTTATGAAATGGTGACCCCTCTGTACAAACCTTAATAAAATGATATTTTAAAAAAGAAAAAAGTAGTAACAATGTTAAAAATTATGTCTTCTATCATGACAATCCTAATCAATGTGATTACATGCAAAAAAAAATTATCTATGACCTCAACAAATACTTAAGCTCAGAGAATACAGTTCTCAAAGGACCTCTTAGTTTTTACAATATTAATGCTCATGCTTCACATGTTGGC